TTTTTTTGCCATTATGCTTTTATAAACAACTATAGTATGTTGCTTATGAAATCCATGATTTGCTACAGAGAAAATTACATTTTATTTATGTTATAAATGCAATTTGAATTCTTTAAAAATTTATATCAAAAAAGAGACTCCCAGTTGAAGGTCTCTAACGAATTAAAAAGCTAAACTTGAATTATCCTTGTGATGGCCCGCTTGAAGCTGACGCTCCGGTGCGTGTGTCAAAAAAATCAACACACTGCTTCAGAAGCACTGTGTCGAAGCTTGATTCGTTTGGCCAGAGTCACGTGATCAGTGACGTCCAAAGCTTCATTTACAACCTAACTGCTTCGGTGTCTGATTCAATGGTTTATAAGGAAGTGAATCATTCGCGGGATTTGTGGAGTGTTTTGATGGTGACAGATAGCGAACCACTGATCCTTCCACTGAGAGATTTGGAGCCAGCGAGCAATAGAGGAGTTTCTGTTGTGTGGGAGTATTTTGAGTTGATTTTGGTCAATCGGGTGGGTTTTCCAGCTTTGTGTTCTTGTTGTTTGCTTTTGTTTTGTGCGTGTTTATTTTATCTGACAACGGGGAAAAACTTAAAATATCAAAAATCTGCTTTTCATAATATAAATATCATTAAATAACTTTAGAAAAACTTCTATTTCACTCTTTACATTTAATGTTATAAAAATGTATATTTTATGTTTTAAATAATCTTAAACTGTTAGTCTGCAAAATGTGCAGCAATTTAATTTATTTATTCTCTTTAGCTGATAGTTTGTGGGGCCCAGTTAGACTGTATAACTGCATCTCTACCAGTTTCTGTGCACTCCAGCCTCCTCTGTGCCATGTGAAGGGATTTTTCTTAAGGCAGGAGAAATTATCTCCATGAAAAGGAACAGGTTCGGACCATCGCACACTAGAACAAATTCTCTTCTTAAATACAAATGGAAAAGGGTTACCTTAAATACATCATGTTTTTAATTTGCAAGTTCATAAGCATTTTCCCTTTCCAGTTCACAATCAATTCTACCCCCAGGTCAAAAATATGTATAGGAAAATTTCCCTAATATAATATTATTTATAAATACACCCGTCTAGCGATTAACTGCAAAAATACATGGAGGCAGGACCTAACAGCAGAAGTATACTCCATAATGTGTTGTACATTATTATATGTATATTATATGTAACGTGGTATTTTTCAATTGTATTTACCAACATCAAGAAATCACAAGCAAAGAAAGACCACG